CATATGTCTCCAATGCTGGCTGTATCCCTGAACACACAGAGATCTATGGGATAAAAGGCATGTGCCACCACCGCCACACTCTGTCTATGGCTCTAATAGCTCTGACCCCCGGGCAACTTTATTTATTAACATACAATCAAAATCACATTTCAGTACAATTAGAATACCACCACAGTTAATTTTTCTTTCAAAATACTAGTAAGCTCATTTATTTCATAGAGAAATACATAGAGATGGAGCTACATCTAGTGTTGGTTACATAAAATGCAGTGTTCTCTAGATCTTACAGGGATTAGCTGGGCATGGTGACACATGCTTGTAATTGTAGCATGTTGGAGATGGAGATCAGGAGTTCAAGGCCAGTCTGAGCTGTATGATACACTGTCCCAAGCAACCAAAAAAAAAACCAAACAAACAAACAAAAAAAACAAAAAACAAAACCACCCTCCCCAACCCCACAAACAAAATAAAACAAAACAAAAGCCAGGTGTATTGGGACTAAAGTGTTCAAGTCTCTTTAATTATATCATCCTGCCCTAAAACCCAACTACCTCAGCCTTTCTTTCTAAGCATACCCCCTCTGATTCAGCAAAAAGAAATGATTTCCTAGACACTTAAAAAGCATGAAACAGTATTCTTTTCAAACACCAGCAAATATTTAATTAGCTGAAAATACCCAACTCAGCAATTTAAGGAGCTTGTGAAGTGCTTTTTTCTAGCTCTAGTAAGCATGCAAGTTTGTATTATGCAAAAAAGCATGCGGTGCCTCAAGGGCTCTGTAAATTAGATGGAATGGAAGGAGTGATATTTGGAAATATTTAACAGAGTGTGAACTTATCCTTGAAACTCTAGGGCTGTATCTCAGGGTTTTATCACACACTTTTTAGAAGCTTCACAGAGCAGAGCCACTCAGTGAGTGTCTGAGGTTTGTATGTGTTCCCAGAACATGACAGCGTATGCTAGACTGAGTAAGGAGGGCTCTTGACTCCCAGCTCAGCCCACATTCTTGGTTTTCTATGTGAGATCTTCTCTGCCACTCCCTTATGAAATAATAGCTTGATGGCTTCAGAATTCTGAAGGTTATAGCGAGATTCCAGCATTGACCATGTGTATTCCTGTCCCTCCATCTTTTACCCCTATTGCTGGTGGCCATTGCCCTGTGGCTGGTAGGTGCTGGTATCCAGGGCAATGGGTGCTGCTGACCACTTCATGGACTGAGAGGAAATGGGATGGCAGGAGGGTATGGGAAAGCAGGACATGGAAGGGCAGCCTGGGCCATATTTGTGAGGATAGCTACCGTCATGTTTGGCATTTCCCCTCAATGAGTGTGTATTTGTCTTTGTGAGCATGTGACTATAAGAAAATCTTGAATTCTATATTATTAAATTATATGCATATGAAAAAAATATATTGCTCATGAAATTACTGTTCCAATAATAATTATAAGGAGTACAGAGCTCAAACAATTAGTATCTTACATATTCATTCACTAAACACGTAAAACATTAGGATATATTCCTTATGTACAATAATGGATTTATTATGACATTTTCATACATGTATATAATGTTTTGAGATCATATTTATCCCGATTACCTTCCCTTGTCCTTCCTGTGATTCTTTTCCTATTTCCAATTAGCCCTCTTTCTAGCTTCACGTACTTTTGTGTGTGTGATCCAGTGGGTTTCATTAGCATGGCTTAGATGAGTGCAGGTGTCAGTAATCACCTTTGGAGAGCTTCCCCCACACCAGGTGTTGGCCGATACTGGTGAGACAGTGATGAGAAACAGACATGGACTTGTCCTCCTCATGTTTCCAGTCCCGGTGGAAGTGGTTCAAATCATTGGCTCATGATAAATATAGAGGGCTATCACTGGGAATATCAGAGGAATGCAAGGGCCAGCAGCGAATGTCTCTGCCACTCAGACACTGAAGGAGAATGCCTGGCCCCAGGGAAGCATCCAAACGTATTATCTGAAAATGATGCATTTTGGGTGGCAGTAGATGAAAATCCCCTTGCGGCCCTGGGTGCCTGCTCTTTCTCTGGTACAGACAGATGGATTGGGCGGGGGGGGGGGGGGGGGGGGGGGGGGGGGGGGGGGTAGGGGGGAGTGTTCCCTGTGGTTTTAGTGACAGAAGAATGTGTGGCAGTGGTGACATTGGACTTGACAGATAGAGCCTGCTTTGTTTTTATCTATAACCCGGCTCTGCCTCTCTTTTGGGTGAGGAGGGAACCATGAGTCTTTGTGAAGAAACTGTTGGGGAATATCCTAAGTATTCAGGCACTTTGGTCTTTTACGATTAGAATTGTGAGAAAGTAAGCAATTAAACATTAGCATCTAGGTTTCAATTTTCAAATATTAGTCCCTGTATTTTTCTCATCAGGAAGCAATTGTAGTAAAAATGAACACTAGGTCAGGGAGAAGATGGATACTCAGCCCTCTATTTGCTAATGGGAATATGTTAACCCAAACTTCAACTTATTATCATCTCTTTTGTTATTTTGCAGATCTCTTTCAATCCCCAAGGAAACCGACTCCTGACAGGCAGCTCTGATAAGACAGCCAGAATCTGGGATGTTCAGACTGGCCAGTGCCTCCAGGTCTTGGAGGGGCACACTGATGAAATATTTTCATGTGCTTTCAACTACAAAGGAAATATAGTCATTACAGGTATGAGAGAAATACACATCACAGAGCTAGTTTTCCTTTTAAATTGCCTACTAGAATTTTAAGAAGAATGCTAAAAGGAGTTCATGCTCAACCTCTGCTCACTTTTCCAGGGGGTCTGGCTTATCCTGGAATTTCATTTTACTTCCATTATTGAACTTTTTTTTCTTACTATTGGCTTTTAAAAAGTATTTTGAAATGGGGTCTTGCTATACATCCTGGCCTCAGACTTGCAGCAATCCTTCCATCTCAGCCTCCCCAGTGCTAGGGTTGGAAATATTAGCCACCATGCCAGGTTCCCGCTTAGTTGCACCAGGACTCACAAGAGTGCCCTCTGCCACTGATGGTGAATTTAATTCAATTCTGTTGCTCTAGGTAAAGCAGCCATTTTGGAACTTGTCTAGCTGGTTACTCTACTTTTCTGATGGTTACTGCTCAGCTGATGGTAGTAGACACCAGTAATGTAAACAAGTCAGGACATTTCATTTTCCACAGATGATGTGGAAAATGGCCCAGTAGAGATGTTAAATTTAAACGTCTTTTTCTTGGCTTTTTCTGGCTAAAGTGTTACTATGTAGGGAAAAGAATATGCATTGAACATTTTTCCCAACTATCAGCAATTGTGTGACTTCCTGATGAGCTGTCCTTTGCAAAGCCTCACGTTTCACACATGGCTGAGTAGCAGTGACCCAGGACAAAGTCCGCCTGTTTGAAGAGAGGATAACAGAAGTAAGATAAGGGGGAAATGATCGTGCAATTTGTTTCATCAGGTAGCAAGGACAATTCCTGCAGGATATGGCGTTGACCGAAGGGCTTTGCTGTGGAGCAGGGCTGTTGGCAACAGTGATCAAGACCTTGAACTCGCAGAGAACAAGTGAGCCTATTTCCTCTGCTTCCTTTTTTTTTGTACAACTCACCCATGGAGCGGCCTGTCCTTCACTTACAGAGATGACCGTGAAAACTGATGAACTTACATCATTTCTTGATGTTATCTGAGGTGATGGCAGGAACAAGCATAATCTGTGGTTAATGTCACTGATTGTTTTAGTTGTGTTTTGTGTTTCAGTAGCATCAGGATACTGATAAATGGAGTCAGAGTGCCTTTACAGTACTTCTAGATTCTAGAATCTTCTAGATTCTACCTGAAGGTTGATGTTACAGTTTCTCTTCAATAAAGGTTTTAGACAAAATTTCTTGTGAGTAGTGTTTCATTATATGCTTGGAGGGTAAGATAACAAAGAATAAAATGGTTATCATCAGCAAATACATTCTGCATTGAAAGTAGCATTGAATTTATGTAGGTAAGTTTATCTCTAAGGATGTGTTAAACAGAATATATATTCAGATAAGTAAATTTAAAAACCCTGAATGAAACCATTGAAGTATAAAAGAAAACAACCAAACTGTTGCTAAAATATTAAAAATGTCTTGGGGTGCTGGAGAGATGGCTCAGCAGTTAAGAGCACTTATTGCTATTTCAGAGGACCCAGGGTTATTCCCCAGCACCCATATTAAGCAGCTCACAGTGGGCTGTGACTCTAGTTCCAGGGAATCTGACACTGTCTTCTGTGGTCACCTGCATTTATGTGGTACACATAAACTCATGAACACACACACACACACCCACTCACACTCACACACACACACACACACTCACACACACACACACATACACACACACATACACACACACACACACACACACACACACACAAATCTTTAACGATCCATTGTCTATCTCTCATAATGAGAATGTTAAGATTTACTAACAAAGATCTAAAGGCATAGCATCACCACACGGTAACCTAAATTTATATTTGTCACTTAACTAAAAATTTTTACTCTTTGACCAGTATCTTTTCACTTCATCCACCTTCTAGCCCTTGGTTACCACTGGTCTACTGTTTCTGTTGAGTTTGGCTTTTTTTTTTTTTTTTTTTTTTAGATTGTGTATATGCCTGAGATCATGCACTATTTGTATTTCTGTGCCTGACTGAATTCATTAGCACAATGTCCTCAATACTATTCTAGTTTCACAGATGACAGAATTTTCCTCTTTTCCCTGCCAAATAAGGCAATTCTCTGTATCCATGCATGTGCATGCTCTGTTCATTTACCTGTTTATGCCACAGTACGCCCATGTAGGCGACAGGACAACGTGATAGAATCAGTTCTCTCCTACCACGTGGGGTCCCAGGGTTGATGACTCAGGTTGTCAGGCTTGGCAGCAAGTGCCTTTGCCTTTCCCCACTGGGTCGTCTCACCAGCCCTGCTTCTCTTCTGCCTATGGTTTCCTTGGAGGTACTTTAGATGGCATAGTCTCATTACTTTTTGCTTTTACTTCCTGTGCTTTTGGGCTCATGTCCAAAAACTCACCGTCAAGAACAGTGCCACAGTACATTCCTCTTATGGTTCTTCGGGGAGTTTTATATTTCCCAGTCTTGGTGTTAAAATTTCCAATGGATTTTGAGGTGACTTTTGTGTATAGTGTACAGTATTTGGTTTAGTTAGCTCTCCACCACTATGATCAAATATCTTAAGATAATAAAAATCAGCTTATGAAAAGATTTGATTTTGTTTGTGTTTTTAGAAGGTTCAATACAGAACTGCTTGGTCCAGTTGCTCCTGGGCTTGTAATAAAGGAAATGAGGGAGTATATGGCACAGCAAAGTCATTTACTTCATGACTAGGCAGAGAAGTGAGAGATGGGAGGTGTGGAGGGAAGGAGAGGGAGAAGAAGAGATGGAGGGGAGGGAAAGAGATAGAAGAGAAATGGAGGGAGAGAGAAACATCCCGATGGGGGGGGTCCTATAATCCCTTTTGAGGACAAGCCCCCACTGACCTGGAACCTCCCTTATGGCCCCATCTCTTAAGGTTTCCACCACCTCCCAGAAATGCCTAGCTGGAGAACAAGCCTTTAGCACATAGGACTTCAGGACACGTTCCAGATCCAAATCAGCAATACAGATAGTCTTATTTATTGTATGCAGAAACTGTTTCTCCAACACTTTTATCAAAGAGCCTATTTATTTCTCCATTGTGGTGGCTACTTTTAAGACTCTAAAGGAGTAGACACATGCTTGGGACTCTTTTGGATTTAGTTCATGTGTTAAAATCTTTATCAACTTGACACATCTGAGAAGGGGGGGATCCCCAAATGAGGAATTGCTTCCATTGCATTAGCCTATGGATATGACTGTGGGACATCTTGTTAATCAGTGTAGTCCACTGTAGGCCATGCCATCCCTGGGCAAGTGGCCCTCAATTCTATGAGGAAGATAGCTAAGCAAGCAGGAGGGAGCAAGCCAGTAAACAGTGTTCCTCTGTCAATTTCTGCTCCGAGCTCCTGCCTTGTGGTCCTTCCCTGACATCCCTCAATGACAGACTATGACATGGAAGTATAAGCCAAATAGACCCTTTCCTCCCTGACATTGGTTTGGTCATTATTGTATCACAGCAACAGAAAGCAAACTAAGGCATTCATACGACTCTATGTACTTATTTTGTTACACCATTCAAAAGAGTCAGCCAGTGTTAGTAGGCATTCAATGTCTGATAAACCAGCTAAGGTGTAGGCAGCTTTGGCCTGATAATGATTTATTCCTTTTGCCTTTATGTACCAATGAAGTCTTACTCCTCCCTGCCCCCCGCACTCCCATCCCCCAACCCCTGCCCCAGTACTGGGCATCAAACCCTGGGTTAGCACATGCTAGGCAGTCATTCTGCCACTGACCTGTACTCTCATCCTCGTTTCTTTTCTTTTTGAGAATATGTCTTGGCAAGTTTCCCAGACTGCACTTGAATTCCTTCTGTAGCCCAGACTGGCCTTGAATTTGTGGTTTTCCTCCCCGGCTTCTTGAGAAGCTGGGATTATAGCCCTGAGATTCCAGGACTGGAAGGAAGTCTTTCTTAAAAGAATATTTACTAAGATTTTTAGACACCAAAGCTTGCTTAAAAATAAGTGCCTAATGCTAGGCAGTGGTGGCACACGCCTTTAATCCCAGCACTCGGGAGGCAGAGCCAGGCGGATCTCTGTGAGTTCAAGGTCAGCCTGGTCTACAGAGTGAGATCCAGGACAGGCACCAAAACTACACAGAGAAACTCTGTCTCAAAAATAACCAAAAGAAAAGTGCCTAAATAATCAAGATGATATGGAAAATAACATATCCCATTTATTTTCATTTGAATTAAAGGCAGCATGATACTATAAGAAAGCCTGTGGAGTGTGGAGTCAGGTTGCCTGGATACACAGTCTCCCATCCAGGTACTAACCAGGACCAGCCCCACTTAGTTTATGATGTCAGACATACCCAGAGTGGTATGGCCACAAACACCTAGATGTATGCTCTGACTTCTGCCCTTTATTGTTGGGAAGGCCTTCACCACTCTGATTCTCAGTCTCCTGTTTTCAAAAGTTATAATAATAGTTCTATTTTGAGGATTATGAATATCTAGTATGTACAAGCATGTGATGCGTATTAGTTACTAATTGTATGATTAATAATTTTGTGATATATGAACATATTTTTTTGAAAACAGAACACAATGTTTTTCAGAACTTTAGTAGTAATGATCTGAACTATTTTATGTTTTATAGTGTCTTAAGAAGAAATAGATCTTTTTTTATCAAATAAAATCTAACATTCCTAGGATAGTTGTCTTTGTGTTAGTATATTTTCTACTATACATCTTCTACTCTTCCCCCTAACTCCTTCCAGATCTGCCCCTCCCAATTTCACATCTCTTCCTCCTCTTTTTTTTTTTTCATTTTTTACTGATTCTTTGTGGATTTCACATCATGCATCCCAAAACAGTTCCTCTCCCCATCCCTTCAAGTCTACCCTCTGCCCCTGCAACCCACAAAAAACAAAATAAAATTTAAAAGAAAAAAGAATCTCATCATGGAAGCTGCAGTGTGACACAGTGAGTCACACAGTGTCCCCTTTAGTCCATACATCTTTACTTGCAAGTGTTCGCTGCAACTGAGTCATTGGTTTGGTCTAAGGCCTCTGGCTTCTGCTGGGTCCTCACTGAGACTCCCCTTGGACATCTTGCTGTTGCTCTGTATCATGTTGATCCTGCAGCTTTGGATCTACAGGACTAGCCCCTTCATGTGCTCCAGCAGATCATAGATGGTGTAGATGTTGAGGTGGGCCAACTCACAGCCCTGGTTCTGGAGGGTAGCTGGGTTGGTCAGCCCACCAGCTTTCCTCATCCCCATCACTAGGGTGAGCTCTCATCACTGCTCCAGTTAGCTCACTCTATGCAGTAAGCTGCAGGGAATGGGTCCTGTTCTCCTGCTCTCACTCCCTTGGGGGCAGCTCACCCACACCTACACCACCAGGGCCAGCTCTACTGTGCTGCCCAGGTGAGGTGCAAGACCCACTCTCCCAAGTGCTGCAGCCAGTCGGGGGCAGGGCCAGCTCTTCCACTCTTCACTATCTTGACCCCGGGGTCAACTTTCCCACCTGTACCAGGTGTCCAGGTTCCTTTTTTTTTTTTTAAATCCACTATGCAATTTTTGGTGGCCATGTACTTAGGGATGTGGGACCATCCAGTGGAACATAATAGACCTACCAGAGGCCACACCCTTAAAGAAAACTGATTCTCCTTCCCTTAGCAGCCATCAACTGCTAATAGACCCTCAGCCAGGGGTGAGGGCTGGTGAGCCCATCCCCACTCCAGGCTGGCTTGACCTGTGCATGTTTTGTTCAGGTAACCATAACTATCTTTTGTGGTTCTTTTTTTTTGGTTTTTCAAGACAGGGTTTCTCTGTGTAGCTTTGGAGCCTGTCTTGGACTAGCTCTGTAGGCCAGGCTGGCCTCAAACTCACAGAGATCCACCTGGCTCTGCCTCCTGAGTGCTGGGATTACAGGCATGCGCCACCACCGCCCAACTCTCTTTTGTGGTTCTTAGTCCTTGAACCAGAAATGTTAAGAAGTGAGAAGACTGTCAGTTTAGATGACTAAGGTGGGGGTCCATATTCCTCATATAAATCCAGTTTTTAAAAACAGCTTTGTTCCATATTTGGTTGAATACATGGTTAAAGAACTCCATGGTCACAGAGGGATGACTGTCGTCTTACCCTCCCTATCCTTTACATTTGATGTTGTCTCAGAAGCACCATTTCTGCCAATGGGGGATAACTCGCTTTCTTCTTTTTCCTCTAGCCACAGAGTCATTACCGACCTCCATATGGCTACCATTTTATCATCACTCTGGCACTAGGAACAGAAACTGAACAAAATTCTAAATTACTCCGGCTTCCTCCCACCTTTTAAGATTATTTCTTTATGAGATAAACATTACTTATAAAAAGGCTTAATATTTTATACTTACAACACTTTCTCATAAATCAGCATGTTTACCCAGAGGGAAGGAATAGGAATGGTGAGCTCTAGAGAATGATAACACATAGTCAGAAATTTAAATGATTTGGGCTCGATTGCCCCTCTTTACCTCTCATTACCCTCCTTACTTTCTTCCCTTATCTGGAAGCATTAGATTGGTTTGGGAACGATTTGTGAACCTTTAAAAGATGTAAACCCCAGAAAAGTTCTGGGGAGGCAGCAGGTAAAATACTGGTGAAGGTTACCATTTATTTTGCCTGTAAGGAAACGTTGGATTCATTACTTTGGACAAAGCAACCTTTGATGCCCTTTTACTGGAAATATGGCGTGTTGCTTATATATTTGTTCCTACATGTCAAGTGGGAGCACCCATTAGGGAGAGCGAAGAGCCCACTAGCTCCCTTTGATGAGCCTGGAACATGTTGCTGTTTACAGAGTTTATGGGCTTACAAGCTTTGATTTCTTCTCTCCTCTCAGTAGGGGGCAGTGTGTGTCCTTCTGCAGTTCTTGCTTTTCTTGACAGAGACTGCAGAGTAACCTTTAAAATTCCAGGTCCCTTACAGACACGGTTATGTGGGGATACGATACTCAGTATGCGGTATAGTTTAAAGTTTGCAACTATCCTGGCAGATTTGGGACAAATGGCATATCTCATTAATCTTGACATTCGGCAGAGACATTTCCTCATCTGTCTTGAGGACAGAGACCAGAAAGTTGAATAATAGATAGCTCCAATGTTTCTTTAAAGGTCCCCGGTGGGGAACCGTGTGCAAAGATTTATTTTTTTAATGACTCGTATCAAAGACTGCAACTCTGAACGAAGTCTTTTCACACCACTGTCTGATCAGAGCAAACATGGGTTGTTTTGTGTGTCAATGAAATTTTCTGTAATTTCAGTGGTTGAGACTAAGCATTACATTTTATTTTATCATTACATAACTGTAAACTAAATCAGTTCATATTTGGTTGGCAAAGACAAAAACCTGAGACCAGGGGCTGGAGAGATGGTTCAGCAGTTAAGAGCACTGGCCGCTCTTCCAAAGGACTCGGGTTCAATTTGCAGCACCCCCAGGGAAGGTCACAATGTCTGTAACTCTAGTTCTGGGAGCTCTGATAGCCTCACACAGACATACAGGCAGGCAAAACACCAGTGCACATTAAAAATAAAAATAAAAAAGAAAAGAAAAGGTAAATTTGTTTTTAAAAAAAGTGTGAGACCAAGCTAAGGAAGTCTGCTACTCATAAGCTGGTGGCACGGGAGCCCAGCTGTTATCACAGGAGCCCAGCTGCTGTCATCACTTCCTCCCAGGACACCAAAAGCAACCCAAGGTCGGCTTTACAGAAAGAAAAGAAGAAACACGGGCTGGCCCCTCATTAAGAGACTATTTTTAATATGGGAACTTTGGACCTTCTCATTAGTCTTCAGGCACAACCAGTCGTGTTTGGATGGCTACAGTTGGGGAGACAAACAGGCTGGGACTGTCAAAAGAATACGGGTCATTTTGTCTTGTGGGAGATCTCTATCTCTGTCTCTCTCTGACAATAGAGTGACTATTTTTCTTTTGTGATCAAACCTTCATAATATTTGGGGGCAAGATTTGGCTGCCCAGCCAGCCTGCTGCACCTGAGCCACAGTTCTTGGTGATTAAAAACATGGGCTCTGGAATTGGAAGGCCTGTTTTAATATTCTGCCCTCTGCTTCCTGGCACTGGGATCTTGGGGACATCAAACATTCTGTAATTCAGGTTTCTTATTTTTAAAATAGAATGGATAGCAGTATGTGGGAACTTTGCTCAGATTAAATCAGTCCACAAATGTGTAAAGGGCTTGATATAAAGCAAACAGTCAGTTAATATTAGCTAGTGTTTGTAGACACTGGTCTGCTAACTCGAATTTGATGGATTTAAGACCCATGAAAGCAGTATCTGTCCATTCAGGACGAGTTTTGTCATTATTATATTGTTTGCAATCCAAGTCCTCTTTTCTTAGGAAACAAAAACAATTAAAGAAATGTAGTGGCTGTTCTGTATTCAGGGATGTGAGTACTATTTGGGCTCAATTTAATAATCTAGTGGTGATTCCGAGTCAGCCCAGGCTTTCTTTATCTTTCTCTTCTTGCAAAGTGCTATGCCTCTAACTTGGTTAAGGCACCTCTACCAGCCTCCACCTCAACAGAAATCATTCCATTTGTGGGTAAGGAGACAGACGAGATGTAAAAATCATTAATTAAGTATGATTTCATAACGCTTCCAGAACCCTTCTTCCCAATACTTGAGGAAAAATGAAAATGTATAAGGTACTTAAAATACTTAAAAGTGGAGACATTCCCTGAAGTTCTGATATGCAGTGTTTTGTATATACTCCAGACTTTGCCAGTAAAGAATCCAGCAGCATCCTTCAGAATAAATGGCTTCAAATGAACTTTGCATTGGCTTCTCTGGTATAAGGACCATCAATATTTCTGACTTTGCTCTATGCTAAGTGTTTAAAGACTCTTTGAGAAGGATCTTGTTTAGGATTGCTTCTGGGTTAGTATTTTAGTTTTTGTCCACACACTCTGTTGGTGTTTCTAGGACACACTCATCTTTAATTATAGAAATAACAATCTCAGGGAGAATGCCTGAACTTCTGCTTAATTCAAATACAGCTCTTCTTTGCTTTCCAGCTTGTACGTGGATGGTGATGGAAGCTTCTGGAAGATAATTTTGGCCTTCTTTCCTCAGGCAGTATAAGACATATTTTCTAGGTGTGCCTGAGGCAAAGGGACTGTGCAGTAGATACTCTCCAAAGAGAAGTAGATGAATAGTTACTGTGCTTTGGGTTATTACCATAAATAAGCAATTAGTGTAAATCACATTCAATTGCCAATTTTGACAAAATTTGACCTATAATGATTGCATATAGTTTTACTTCGTATGTTGCTTATTCAGTGAAGGGTGAGAGATTTTTGGCTCAGCTCCTTCAGCAAATCCTCAACAGTGGTCCACTCCCCAATACTACAGTCTGGCAGAGAGGGCAGACAGCAGACAGCAGATAGCATAATTCAAACCAAAGACTAAAGAGAATGTGACCTACCTCATCAGGGAGAGAAAATCCACTACACTTGGTGTGTGGCTTTGGTAGAAGAGCATATTCCACTCATTGCTCCCGTCATTGTGAACATGTCACATTACCAGGCTTGTTTCCTTATCTGTGACATGAAAATATGATAATGGAATGAAATAAGGTACCGTAGACACCCACTAGCTCAATGTCTTCGGTGTAGTTGATTGTTGCCAAGTGTGTCAGACCTTCCCTGTGTCCCTGGAGAATGTATACTTAAGGTTGGTATCAGTGCTGACTTGTGTCTGGGGGAAGGCGCTGGTGCCTAATTGCCAGCTGTTGGGCACAGGGGTAGCACCTTAGTCTTCCTGAAGGCTCCTTGCTGATGCTGCAGGATGGAGACTCCCCCCCCCCAATGCTCTTCTCTGATGCCCTCAGGCACAGCAGGTGGCCTATATTTAGAAGAGCATCAGCTGCTTCCCTGAACATTTGAACTAATGCTTATAAGCACTAATGACCCCCCTCCCCTTGTTTTAGATGAGATCAGTTACAGTTAAAGTAGTATGTTCATAGAGAATTTTTTTTTTAGCATTGCCCATTTAGTAATCTTTTTAATATTTGTAGGGTCTTGCTGTTAGATCTGGTATGGAGGAAGAACAGAAGTAGAAAAAATATAAATATCACCAAGTGTTAGTTGCTACAAATTATATGCCATAGCTTGCACAGAAAATTTATTTGTGAGTAAATTTAACCCTCAATTTTGATGAATTTAATGATATAAGACATATCATGCCAAGTGTCCTTAGAGTCCACACTCAAAGTAGAAAACCAGAGAAAGAGACCCCAGTCATTCATTCTTAAAGAACACATGAGACAAAACTAGGAGACCACCTGTCATCCAGGAAGACAGAGAGACCTCAGAAGAAATCAGCTGTTTAGGCACCTTGATCGTGGGCTTCAAAGCCTCCAGAACTCTTTTTTTTAAAAGTTTCAGTTATTTAAGATGCCCAGTGTCTTAATGTTTTGTTATAGCAGAGAGGAGAGGAGAGGAGAGGAGAGGAGAGGAGAGGAGAGGAGAGGAGAGGAGAAGAGAAGAGAGGAGAGGAGAGGGAGAGGAGAAGAGCTCATACATCAGAGGAGCACTCATGGGATCTCACTGTCTTGAGATGCTCCACACTTCCCTTCCTCTGTGGCTCTGCTTTTGCCTTCTGTCTCTGAAGCTCCTTTTTCTATACCTACAACTGGGTAAGACCACTCCTTTTCTATGCGTCTTAGTTACTGCTTTGTTGCTTACAGTTTCAGCGGGCCAGTCCATTAGCATCACGGTGAGGAACAGCAAGCAGACAGGCATGGTGTTGAAGCAGTAGCAGAGAGCTCACAGCTGATCCACAAGTTGCAGGCAGAGAGACAGAGATTGGGTCTGGTCTGGGTTTTCGAAACCTCAAAACTCACTCCTAGTGACACACCTCCTCCAATAAGACCACACCTCCAAATCCTTCCCAAACAGCTCCACTAACTGGACACCAAGCATTCAAACATATGAGCCTATGGGGACCATTTTCATTCCAACCACCACATCATGCTTTATTGTTTACCCCAGACAGAAATTTTTCTTTAACTCCCCCACCCCCTTTTCTTTTGAGTTTGTCCTACTCACATTGACACTCCTTGCTAAAAATGTAGTCATCACCAGGAGACACTCGGGAGGCAGTGGCAGTTGGATCTCTGTGAGTTCAAGGCTACCCATTAGCTTCAGAGGTGTGCCCAGAGGCTTGTCTCCTAGGTAATTCTAGAATGTCTGTGAGGGATTATCTTGAGTGTGTTGATTGTTGTAGGAAGATTCATCTTAGTTACGGGTGGTACCATTCCCTAGGCTGGGATCCTAGGCTGTATATAAAATGGATAAAACAAGCAAAGGATGCATTCATTGCTCTCTCCTTCCTGGTCATGAGTGCCATGAGATAAACTGCTTCAAACTCTTATGACCTTGACTTCTCTGCCATGGTGGACTGTGCCTTTAAACTGTGAGCCAGAATAAACACTTTCTCTCTTCATTTGCCTTTGTCAGTCTTTCATCACTGAAGGGACAAAGCAGACACCATCACAGGCTGCTCAGTCCTCTCTCAGAGATCAGACCTCAATTTCAGTTTCCTGAGACTTGAGCAAGCAGTTTCTGGGAGGGCCATGACACAGTCCTTGCAGTAGCTCCCTTTCTGCGTGTACTCTGACGGCTCAAGGTTCAGCCAGTTGTTTGCTGTCTGGGACCCCTCACCAACTCAGAGCTACATGCATGGGTCAATGTGAATGTGGGAGGCCAGCCAGCCTCCATGGCAGCTCAAGGACAAAGCCTGGGACTTGTCCAGGTCTGCCCCCAAAATGGTAACTGTAACCCCCAACCTGTAAATTCAAAGGTTACACACGCTCACCCAATCATATGACGCAAAGGCTTGTACCACCTTGCTTGCGTATTTTCCCTTTAAAAACCCCTCACCCCGAGAGCTCAGGGCCGTCCTCCTCCACCCACTGTGTCGAGTGTTGGACACAGACCGAGCCCGAGCTTGCTTGTTCATAATAATAATAATAATAATCGGATAATGGCTCTGTGGTGGTCTTGCTCAGGGTTTCTCAACATGGCCACAACAATCACAACCACAGGAAAAAGTCACTAGGAGAAAACCTGAATGGATGTAATAATAACAACAACAATAATTCTTATTATTTTTGCGAGTGTCTTCCGGGCAAAGACTATCTAGAGCTGAACAAATCAAGTCTATTACTTTTTAGAGAAAGATACCCTGCCATGGGGACCCATGGGGCATCTCAGACACAGATTGACAGGAAGGATTTATAAGATTTTTGGCTTTGTTCTGTTTTGAGAAGGACTCGAGGGCTTTGCTGTTTGAAACAATTGGATGTAATCAGGATGTGAGGCTGATTCCGTGACTGAGCATCGTCATGTATTTCCTGGGTAGGGAAAGCCAGCTCTAGAGCAAGACTAACATTGCGATAGGGAAAAAGGAGCCGCTGTCATTCGTATCCGCCAGTAGAGGGAGGTGTTGAGTCACTTCTGTGTCTTTTGACCTGTTTGATCCTGTTCAGATGTGACTAGAGCACTGTGGAGCTGTTTCTCTGTCTCATCCATCACAGTCAGAGGGTGGCCTTCTTTGTGGTAATATTCTGTGGGGTTGTTTATGTACAGTATGAAAATACCATGGTCTGGCTTTGATTTTTCAGGCCAATGGCAACAAGTCCTGGCCAGTGAAAGCTGGATGCCACGACTTCGGTTTCTGTGGGCCATTTTTCTGTGGGTGAAGTGCTTGAAAACTGAAATAGATATTGGCAGGTTTTTTTGGACAGGAATGGTCACAGATGATCTCACAGAGTGCTGATGGGTGGCACTGAGGGTCCAGCCAAGTTGGAGAGGTTTATGGTACACATGGACATTGTGCTTCTGTGATTCTCTGCCGTGGTATTTATAGTATGGCTGTGACCAAGTTGAAAGTCGGCACTGTGAAACAGACTAAGCAGGTGGGTCTAGTGGTACATGCTTGCAGTCTCAGCAACTTGGGAGACTGAAGCAGGAGAATCGTGAGTTCAAAGCCAGCCTGGGTAACTTCGTGAGACCCTGTCTCAAAATAAATAGAAAGTAAAATAAAGGCCAGAGCTAGGGGTATACTCAGTGAGAGTGCTTGCCTGTCACGAACAAGGCCCTAGTTCAACTTGAGTACCAGAAAAAGAAGAAAATAAATGAGCCTCAGTCAGAAAATGAATTCTCCTCAGACCACTTCTTATTTGTCAGACATATGGCTTCTTCCAGGACAGATGCAGGCGCTGTGACAAGCGGTCCCTCTTCTGACTACTGTGTCCTCCTCATTGTCCTCTTCTGATAGAGAACATGACCTCATTTTCTATTTATAGAATTTGCTTCATCTCAAGTGGCGTTTGGAACTGCCACTGTGTTGCTGCTGTGTGGCTCTGGAGCATCTTAGCTGTTGCTTTGTGCTTCACAGAGATTTTGATGATGGAACACTTCTTTTTTTTTTTTTTTTTCATTCTCTCCCCAGGGCCCTGGCACAACCTCATAGAGGAGACATGAGGTCAGAGAAAGATCTGCCAAGTGAGTATCCAGTTTTCACAAAAGTCAGCGTCCTTTGTCTGTAGATGTAACCAACCGTCTTATTAAATAAGAAACACAGAACCAATGTAAAAGAGAAAGCCAAGAGGTCAGAGCTCAGAGCTAAAATCTCACTCTTCTTCCTGCGGTGGTCCTAGCTCTCCGAAAAAGACCTGTTTCCTGTGTGTATGTCTTTTCATAGTCTTTTGTTCTGCCTTCTCATTGGTTGTAAACCCAAACACGTGACTGCCTTGTCATTGTCTGTATGTACAGCCCCCCAGGTCTTAAAGGCATATGTCTCCAATGCTGGCTGTATCCCTGAACACACAGAGATCTACCTAGCTCTTCTACCAAGTGCTGGGATTAAAGGCATGCACCATCACCGCCATACTCTTGCTATGGCTCTAATAGCTCTGACCCCCAGGCAACTTTATTTATTAACATACAATCAAAATCACATTTCAGTACAATTAGAATACCACCACACTTTGTCAGATACTCCTTGTCTTTTGATTAAGCCCCAAAGGCTTTAAAAAGCACCCAAAGACCCCAGCCAGGCTCAGAAAGACCTGCAACCACAGGGAGTGATCATCACTTTTCAACCTGGCCCCACCTCCAGGAAACATGTCTTCTTCTTTTGCTTTGAGTTGGTCCTGGATGTGGCTTACTGTTGGGATCCAGTAGTGAACATTGAAGAATGGACTGACTGAATAGATGAGTAATCATGCACTCAATTAATTTAGAATAGATTTTCAATCTATGCTTCTGTGGGGATAACTGATGTACTACACTCATGGAACTTCACCTTTTAGAGGTTACATTAATCAAAGGAAATGAAAATGTATAGGTAGTTTCCTATCCAAGCACTAACCAAGCCAACCTTGCCTGGCTTTGTGGTCACACAACACTGGGCAGACTCAAGGTGGTACAGATGTAGACTCTATGTATCACCTATCATCTATCTATCTGTCTATCTATCTATCTGTCTATCTATCTATCTATCTATCTATCTATCTATCTATCTATCATCTAGCTATCACTTATTATGTACACATACATACACACACAGGGAGAGAGAGAGGGAGAGGGAGAGGGAGAGGGAGAGAGAGAGAGAGAGAGAGAGAGAGAGAGAGAGAGAGAGAGAGAGAGAGAGCGAGCTACTCATGGCTGAATAACATTTTGTATTTGAGTGTACAAAATCAGATCACTGTCTGTTCTCTGTATACTGCTCCCATAATCTCCATACGTCAATCCCAGCTGTATTTCTGTTCTTCCACAATCTCTATAATTAGATATACTTGCTTCTTAAGGTGAATACTAATGGCATTTATTTTGCCCTATTGTCCCTCTTTTTTGGTACATGCTTTACCTTAGCAGCCAGATGTTTCATTCATTTATTACCGTATTCATTCCCTTATTCACTCAGTATGTATTTAATGGGCGACTGTTATGGCCAAAACATGTTGCTAGGTACCAGATATTCATAACGAATGAGACAAATACCTATGTTCCACAGTTTACAAATTAATGAGGGCGAAGGAATGTATTAGTCAAGCTCCACCGAGAGAAACTGAGTGAGGAGATCTGACAGGGTTTGCTGTAAGTAGCTGGGTTATGTGTTGTCGGGGAGGAGCAGACAAGGCTGAAATCGTTAGGGCAGGCCATCAGAACAAGGGTTCCCAAGCTTAGAAGTGAAAGCTGCTGTTCTTAGGTGAAATTCCTTTTTTTTCCCCCTGAGAGGTCTTAGTTCTATTGGAAAGATCTGTCAGTTGATCTAAGCCCCTCTAGAGTGTGTAGGGTGATCTCTCTTATTTAAAGTCACATAAAAAGGCTTTTATCTCTCTACAAAATATCCTCACAGCAACACTTACATTAGTGTTTGTTTGGATAGCTGGGAATCATAGCCTAGCTTCATAGCATATGAAACTGATCACTACAGGGAGGAACATGAAAGAAGTGATTAAAATACCTTATATTTCCAGAAATAGAAATTCCATTTTCTCTGCTTAGCAATAACCTTAGCGTTTGACTTAATGTTTAATTTTGAGAGTAATGTGAAGACTTGTCTCAGGAGCTTAAGGAAGCCAGATTCACTGAGTCTGAAGCTAAGGGTTTTTGAACAATTCTGATGCCTGCATCCAATTCTGTACCAACTATAACCTCTAGGGTATAGGTCCTTGTCATTGATAATTTGAAAACGTGATTCAAATAATTATTGAGCATTGAGAATAAATATTGTAGTGGATTTGACTTTTAAATTCTTTTATACATGCTTTCATATGAAAATGGTCTTTTCAACTTCTTTGGATGTGAATGCTTATGTAAATTAGAAACAACTGTTTTTGCTAAACACAGCATTATTATAGCCATTGAGATGCAGTAACTCATTTTCACTTTAAGCACACAGAGGACAGGAACCCTATATCATTTAATTTCTCAATTATGATAGGGAAGGTAATGTTGCATATACAGCGAACAATGGCCCTCTATCCTCAGAAGGGTCATGCAAAAGGTATTTCTTGACTATAGAAAATTTGCTCTGGGTTTTCAGGACAGCTGACCCCCAGAGAAAGCTCACATACTTTTTAACCTCAACATGTGGTTCATGTTAACTAAGGCAAAGAAGAGAAGTTGTAGAGCTGGGAGTGACACCTGATACATCTCACTGCAATTCTTCTTTGTCATTTG